TAGCTGTTCCTTGTAAGTGATTCAGGAGCATAAACAAGTTAGTTTTTGGAAATGTTTACTAATTTGTTTTAGCAAACCCTTCATTATTTAGTTCTTATTAACCGAGCGGGAGGTCTGTATGGGAGAATCTTGACCGAGGTCGCCAGTACGAACCGAGCGCAGTGAGGTCTGTTCCAGCGACCGAGGTCAAGATTCTCCCATACAGACCGACCTAGCTCGGTTAATAAGATGTTTATTATATGGTTGTGTCTTATATGCCAATTTTTTATATTCTCTGTACTTTTTTTTCTGGACCGGTCTAGATGTTGGTCTAGATGGGAAAATCTAGACCACTTTCAATATTGATTTCAGCCAATCAAATTGGTGAATTCGGTAGTTCCCAGTCCTTGTGAGACACAGCCATATAATAAGAGCGATTAATAAAGTCGGACAATTATGAAGAGGGAGTCTGATTTGTCAATCATTAGAGTACGATTGCAGATCGAATTGGACCACACGAAGTTCTGTTAATAATTAATCATAAATATTACAAATTACGAAAAAAAAGCAAATATATTAAGGGAAAATAACTCCGGTAGAGTCTGTCTTAAGTAAAAAAATTCCTCCATTTTGAAAGTTCCCAACTTTTTTAAGATAAGTGGTTGCTGCTATGATTATCGTGATCAATTCTGTGATTGGTGGATTTAGCTGAGTGAACTTAGTAGTATGATTGACTGCTTCAACTGTACGATTACAGGTTTCCGATTACAGCCAACTGTCCGATTACAACTCTACAGAATAATCAGTGAAAAATAAAGCAGCTAAGGCACTAATCACTTTTGAGGAGATTGTAATGATTATGCAAATTTGTGGCTCCCTGGAAAAAGCTTGCAAAGACTGGGAACTTAGAGCCAATGAAAGACTCAAAACATGCAAAGCTGGGTGACCCCAAACTTGTTCTGCCATTTTTTTAAAGACATTTCGACCACTTTCTCTAGGATTAGTGTTGCATTATTTTATACCTCTTTTACCCGCAGGGGGCGAGTACGAACGTCTTCCATCTTCTTTAAGGCATTGTTTAGGGTACAAACAAGAGTATACTCTAAATAATCTGCATTTGGTTTGGAAAGTAACTCGCAAGTCATTCAAGCTACCGTGACCAATCCACGGGAGGGGTTTTGCAAACTGTTAACGGAATCTATATTGATATTCTGAGCTACATTGCATAGATCTGAGCTTAATTATTAAAGATGGGCAGGAACAGGTACTAGCTGTTGAGTTTGAATGGCTTGGCAGATACTCGGCAGGACCCATTTCTTCCTGGACGTCAAAGACATCATTGAGGTTCAGTGCACCATTCGCGCCGATGTATATCTCTGAGTCAATGCTATCTGAGTACGTCCTTTCATGTACTTCGTCTAACACACCTAGTACTAGGCAAATGGTAGAATGCCTCCGAAATTGATGCTCTCGATATTAAATAAAAGTGCTACTCTCGAGGAAGGAACATTGAAATACTCATCATTCCATTCACGGTAGCTTGAGAGTCTGCCTCCTGGTATTGAGACTGAGCTCGATGGAACTCACTGCACTCCTTCCCCTTTCTCTAATGAAGAGACGAAAAAGTGATGTTAACAGTTATTACCGCCTACGGTTGAATTACAACGCTTACAAAGCTAAGTTGTACAGTGCAAAAGAATACGAATGATGTAAAAAAATCATTTTCAGCGTTCTGTTCTGTAAAAAAAGGTTTTCCGCTTTTCTTTGCTTACAATTATACTAAATGCTAATTTCACCTTCTGGAACTTTTAATTTTAAGTCCAACTTGAAATCATTATTGTGATTGAACTGATAGGTTCAATGAACCCTTCATATGGTGATCATTTTTTGTCGCTGGATGTAAAGTCAAGTTTATGATATCCATGAACACATCATAGAACATTTTTTTACACTTGTATCCACCGCTCAGAGCCCACCGTGGCCGCGCCCCCAAAACGCCTTATACAATTATGGTATAAGGCTATTAACTAAGATGAAGTCAAGGCAAGTCTCAGCTCAGATTGATTTCTTATACAAGCTTTCTCAAATATCTAAGTTTCAGCTTCATTTAATAAAGCCTGACATAGAATAAAAATAGAATGTCGGAAGCTGATAAAACCCAACAAAGCAAGGCTGCAGTCTAGGGACTATGACTTGGTCTCTGCGCTTCAGATGATTCAATTCCCTTTATTCAGAAGACCATATAGACTCCCCCTGGTTACCTACCAAATGAAATGCAGATACTATTCCAGCAATTCTTCAGCAAAATCCAGCAAAATGATATCTTGCAGATCGAAACTGAACTCGTTCATTAGGTCGTGACCTCGAACATCTTCAGCAGACTCCTTGGTTAGCATTGGTTTATCTGGAGCCTGCACTTGGAAACATCCAGCCAACAGATTGGCTTCTGGCAAAACGTCGTCGCATAATGGAGGCGTCACTGATGGCGAGGACGATAATGACGATGAAGATGACGAGGAGGACGCAGATAATGATGGTGGTGATGTTGCCGAAGATGGCTGGATGAACAAGGCGGACGAGGGCGACGACTGCAGCATTGGTATATCTATTGCTACCACAGGTCTATTCCACTGATTCTCCACTTTCGTTGTGCCATTTTCAGAGCAGTCCATCATCATCGGCCGTGGGTTGTCGAAGGAACTTGTTGCATTGTTCTCTTTCGAACGTTTCAAGACTGCAGATTCCATACTTGCAACAGCCTGCTTAAAAATTGGAATGGCTTGTATCTCCAACTGATTTGACGTTAACATTTGTATAACGGTATTCAGAGCCTGCAAAGCGTTGCAAAGCACCTCCAGTGGTTGTTGAATCGCCTGTTCTTGCTGTGCTTCGATTGATTTGAAATCACCATTTAGATTGGTACTGAGTTGTACCGTATTTCGCCCTTGGGGCTGAAAACTGCTATTTCGGTCAACGTAAGGTAAAACAGCCGTGCTGAGGCCCTCATATCGAGGTGCTGAACGTTCTTCTACGCCATCAGAAGAGGCCATTTTCTTCCTCGCGTTAGAGAATTTTGGCTCGGTAATCATTTTTTCCTGACTATTCCCAGTCGACACATTGACGTCTGCTCGAGTCGCCGCTGATTCTCTTAGTTTCCTCCTCGGTGGAGGCAAAGCAGGGGGATCAGGGAAAGGACCAGCCAGTGCGTTTGTGAGATTGCTCGTTAGTATTTTGCAAATATCACAGCGCCCTCGTTTCTTCCTACATGTTTGTAAATGATTCCTCCTTAGCTTTATGTTAATACAGGAGGGCAACAGACAGTTTGGATCTGAACAACCAGGGGGATGAATCAGTTCATTCAAGCCCATGGCTTGGCTGCCGGTTAAAGCTTTTCGGCTGTCGTGTAGTTCACCAGGTAACATCTATATAGACAAGAAAACACACCAACTCTAAATATCTCGAGCGAGCGTAGTACGGAACTGAGGTACACGTTAAGAAGCATCTGATTCATTTGAAGAGGTTATATTACGTTCCAGTAGATAAACCCTAGCAGTTGATAATGAAAATGAAGTTCTCTATAGGGGAAACGGTTCGAACCACCTCAAACGATGCAAAAGCATCAGTGGTCTTAAAGCTATTAGCAATAATCCTTCTCAAGGGATTTTCATTCCAAGCTGTCGTAACCGCCAAATCACCTCATATTTCGCGCTGAGACTTTCAATTCTACTTCAGCAAGGAAAAAGGTCCCTTAAGCCTACATTTTGATAGAAAAAATTATTCGAGGAAATAAATGGGTATCATGTCAAGAGGACGCAAAGTAACATAACGAACCATACCGCGAGACTTTCTCTAAAAGAACTCTAAACATTCAATTTAAGTCCTCGTTCGGTAGCTTGATATATATCGCAATGTGTTTTGCCAGAAGAACCTTATTTACCCAATTGCTCTTAGTCTGAGGTCTTTTAATGCTCACGAGTCGTGATCGACGTTTCTGGGATGGTCAGGTTTCTATCAAGAGAAAAAACAACTTGAAATCAACTTTCTTAAGAATAAGCTTCTTATTAACCGACACGTCACGCAACAATTAAATCGCAAGCATAACAACATTGGCCTCTTCAAGCTACAGTGATGGAAAGAGCCTAAAGGGTCATCCATTTCAAATTGGTCCCGAACAACAACATGATCTTTGGACAAAAGTGGCTCTTCTAACAGGGTTAGACATCTACTTATTACCCTTCAAAGTAAAGAGGCAACCGGTTTAAGGTTACATATGCATATGCGTGACGTACGCCACGGCCATGTCTGTGCATGCTAATAGCTGTATTTTTAAAATTATCGGGTTTCAGCGGAAGTAAACTGGTACACATCTTCATGTCAACAAATGCTACTTCCGGCTAGGTTTGTGAATTGAATATCATTAATGCTTACTCTGATGCAGGACTAAATTTTTGGTTTCAAGACTTATAAAGACTTCCAAATCAAATATCGCAGCTTCGGAACTAAAGGTAACTTCCGCTACCATGATTCTCCGAACTCTGCATACAATTATGTCGATAAACGAAAGAAAGCAAAACAATCGAGTAGTGAACACCAATTGGCCATTATAAAAAAATTTGCACTTGCTCAGTCACTGCGCATGCAACGTCGTCCGAGTACAACTGAGATCTTCAGTGTCATTTTAGTCGAGGAAGCGTAAAGAACGAAATTCAATCTGACGTAACGTATAGGAAACTTCCTACGTAATGTAGTTTTTATAATGTTGCAAAAACAAGTTGAAAATAGTATCGTTAAGTGATCGTGTAAAGGAAAATAATACACCATAAAATTGCTAAAGACTCAACTCTCAGAAAGCTCTAAAGATCGTAATTATTTTTCAAAGTTAGCAGCTCAAAATTAGGTTTGCTTATAAGTAATAATCATAAAATCAACTAAGATTATTGAATCATGCTTACTCTGTACGAAGGGTGGACAGTTTGCTTTTTCTCAAGATCCGATTTTTTCTTTTCTTCGAATTAACAGTTCTCTACTGATCCACGTTTTGCAGTATGTATAGTAGTGAATAATGAAATCTCCAAATCATTTCATGGGTCGTATTTATACCTTAGTTCGTAAATATCTAAAAATAGGTTTTATAGGACTGTCACGATTAGAGATTGATATCGAGTGTTGCCATGTAGAGTAATAACAAAGCCGGATATCATCAACAACACTGAACAAAAAGAGCATTTTCAACAGAGGCACTCAAGTGCAAAGATTAGAGTTCATTATATGATGTGATTTAGATACCATGGCGAGAGATTTAACAGCCAATCAGAAACAAACCTGACGTGAAAATATTAGCCGACAATTTCCGGATGTAACTAACGTTTTCGATGTAAACAGGAACCTCTCTTGCGACAGACAAAAGGCCTCTGAAAATAAACAGAGGCAATCACTCGTTCGCAATTGAATTTACGTAAGGAGCTTGGAATGCGATATAAAAAGATTTTATGCTGAATCCTCGCTTGGCACTACATTACTTCATTACTATCTATTTTTCTTTAACCGTCAATTATGACCGCTGTGAGAAGCATTGATTGTAAAACTTAAAATTATTTTCAGTAACACAATTCGATTAAAGATATAACGAATATCAGATATAATATGCATGTTGCCATGTCATAGCGATAGTTTTATGGAAACATTCGTAAAAATTTTCCGTGTTCGCGGGTTTTTCCATGACGCAAACAGCTAACGTAACCAATACAAAATCATTACATCTAGCGCTCTTTGGTGGCGTAAACAATTACTGTGAAAAGTTAACGATGCGGACCTTGCCGCCATCGAGCAGAATTGTGAAATGGAGGTATCACCTGACGAGTGAGAAATCAAAAGCAAGTATTTCTTTCACTTCGATTTGAAATGACCTCCATAAGGCTAATTACTGTTCATTCCAGGGGGCAGATTGTGTGTTGAGCCGCGAGGTATGGAAAACTTATCTCAACGTCATTGTTTACGCCATTTCATCACATCGTACAGCTCCACAGGGTTCCCACACAAGCGGCGTATCTGGTCGTTTGTCCGAAATATAAAGAAATGTATGGGAGAATATTGAAGAGTCGTAATATCGAAAACTTATATCAAGGAATGTCTATGTTAAGACTCAAAATAAATGTAAACCTACCTCACTTGCTGTGTATTGTCGTTTCTGTAGTTCTAAATGGCAAATTTGAGCGATTTGGTAGATTTTGAAGCGTTTTCGGCGAGACGCTAGGAATCAACAAAGAAAACAACAAGGCAATAAGGTAAGTCCATTTTATTTCAAAACAAGACATTTTTCCCTCTCCTTTAAGGCAAACCGTTAACATCCCATACAAACCTTTATAAATTTAAAACGTTGCGCAACACGGTAAGAGTCACGTCCGCTTTTCTAGAAGTGATCTTGGGCTGCCCGTGAGTACACTCAACGCAAAATCTACCAAATCGCTCAAATTCGCCATTTAGAACTATCGAAACGACAATACACAGCAAGTGAGGTAGGTTTACATTTATTTTGAGCCTTAACATAGACATTCCTTGATATAAGTTTACGATATTACGACCCTTCAATATTCTCACATACATTTCTTTATGGCCAGACACACCGCTTGTGTGGACTTCCTGTGGCAGCTCTAGAAGGAAGGGAGGTGCACACGAACTGAACTAATGATTCGAAAGCGGAGCTGATTCACCAAGGTAATATGTGAATTACTTTGCAATAACAACGTAAAGCACCATTTTTGGGGAAAAAACCTGCAGAATTTTCAATAAAAGGCCTGTCATTCTTTTCAACTCTCGTATTATTTATTGAAACACGGAACCTCGAAGTGTATCAAATAAATTCAGAGAGTATTAAGCAAATATTGACAAAACAGCGCAAAAATATCAAACATAAAGTTGAAATCCTATTTGTTAATGATTATTTGTCTGCAATAGAGAGAGCGCAAGTTAGTCGACGTAAAAAGTAAGTGTACCGTAGGTAGCTCTAGTCTAGCTTGCCTTGTTCCTCGTTTGCGTGACATTATAGCTTGCGTTACATTATAGCTTGCGTTTGCGTGACATCCCAAAGAACGGCTGCGAAGGGGACAACCATTTACCGGAAGTCTTCGTGAGAATGTTTGGGAAAAAAAGGTGGGATATGAAAGACTCCTTCGGCAGAGGAATATTGTTCTTTCCTTCAGCCTGTCAGCTTTCTAGATCCGCCAAAATTGTGTAAATACTGTACATTTTTCGATGAAGAAGGGCAGTTGTAGACATTACATAGTGATCAATTTGCAATTTCAGCCCTTATAAAGAACTGTTGACCTTTACAAATAATCGCAAAATCAGAGCCCTTTAAGAGGTCTAAAAACCGCAAGAAAGATGACTTCGATCGTAAAATAGGACAAAATATCGGTTGCTTTAAATCTAGCCCGTGGAGCCGACATAATCTTGAAGGGTGAGGAGGGTCTACAATAGGGGTTCTCAAATCCCGCTTTCCCGCCTTTTTTCTTCTCAATCCCGCCATCCCGCCCCTTTTTACGCTCGGATCCCGATCCCGTCCCATTTTTTTACGAGATCTTTGACATGTTTTGCTTGATCACTGAAATAGGCGTTATGACTTACCTTCTATCAATTGTCAGTTTTGATGTTCCAGGTTTTCAACGTCACAATTAGCGACCATAACTTTATTTTCTGTTTTGCTTAATTATTTTCGGTCCTCGCATCGGTACATGTTTACCTCGATACTTTAAGTCCAGTATTTTTGGAATTAGATAGATTGATGTTATCTGTCTGTCTTACGAAGATTCGACTGCTTTGCTGCTAGTTTACATCAGGCGATGAAGCCAATTCTGTCAATTGTTTACATTGAGTTTAGGACATGGAAATTGTATATAAACACACTGGTCTCTTTTAAGAAACGT